ATACCAGGTGCCATCAGGAGGGCCAGCAGTGGGTCCAGGACACTGAAAGCCCTCCCACTGTTGCCCCCCCCCCAAACACCAAGATTATAGAGAACATAAGAACATAAGAGAAGCCAATGTTGGATCAGGCCAGTGGCCCATCCAATCCAACACTCTGTCACACAGTGGCCAAAAATACCAGGGGCCATCAGGAGGTCCATCAGTGGGGCCGGGACACTAGAAGCCCTCCCACTGTTGCCCCGCCCCCCAGCACCAAGAAGACAGAGCATCCCTTGCCCCAGAACAAGAGTTCCTATAAGAACATAAGAGAAGCCGATGTTGGATCAGGCCAATGGCCCATCCAGTCCAACACTCTGTGTCACACAGTGGCCAAAAATACCAGGGGCCATCAGGAGGTCCAGCAGTGGGGCCAGGAGGACACTAGGAGCCGCCCCCACAGTTTCCCCCCCCCAAGCACCAAGAATACAGAGCATCACTTGCCCCAGTGTTCCCTCTAAGCTGAGTTAGTGTGTGCTAGTTCAGTTTTTTAGCCTCCGGCTCACACATTTTTGTCCTAGCTTGGGAAGGAGGGCTCCAGGGCAAACTGATTTATGCTGTAGCCCAATCACTTGCTCACAACTTTAATGCCAGGAGCTCACAGCTTAGAGGGAGCGTCAGGGCAAACCACCTCTGTTCATCTCTGGCCGTGACAACCCCACGTAACTAACTGGGATCCCAGCCAGGGTTCCCTCTAAGTTGTGTCAGTGTGAGCTGGCTCACAGTTCCTTAGCCTCCGGCTCACACGTTTTTGTCTCAGCTCAGGAAGGATGGGGCTCCAGAGCCAACTAATTTCCGCAGCAGCCGAATCGCCCGCTCCCCACTTTAATGCCAGGAGGACACAAAGCAGAATTTTTGCTCGCAGGACTCCGCCGCTTAGAGGGAGCGTTGCTCCCCCCCAGGCTACATCCCCAAACCTCCAGGAACTGAGCTGGCCACCTCATGCCTCCCCTCCCCCTCGTCCCAGGCTTGCCACCCTCCAGGTGGGGCCTGGAGACGACCCCCACACACACACTTTCACAACTGCACTCCAGCCGGCTCCCCTGGAGAAAATGGCTGCTCTGGAGGGGAGGGGATGGTACCCAGCGGAGGCCCCTCCCCTTCCCACAAGCCCCGCCCCCTTCCCCACAAGCCCCGCCTCCAAAGCCTCCAGGTTGTTTCCCCACCCAGGGCTGGCAGCCCTACCCCGTCACGGGGGGGGGGGGGGGGCG